AAGGTTTTTAATGGTGAAGTATCATAACCCTGGGTAGGATGAAGTTTTTAATAGTGAAGTATCATTAACCCCGGGTAGGGTGAGGTTTTCAATGGTGAAGTATCATTAACCTTGGGGAGGATGAGGTTTTCAATGGTGAAGTATCATAACCCTGGGTAGGATGAAGTTTTTAATAGTGAAGTATCATTAACCCCGGGTAGGGTGAGGTTTTCAATGGTGAAGTATCATTAACCTCGGGTATGATGAAGTTTTCAATGGTGAAGTATCATAACCCTGGGTAGGATGAAGTTTTTAATAGTGAAGTATCATTAACCCCGGGTAGGGTGAGGTTTTCAATAGGGAAACTATCATTAACCCTGGGTAGGGTGAGGTTTTCAATGGTGAAGTATCATTAACCCCGGGTAGGGTGAGGTTTTCAATGGTGAAGTATCATTGACCCCGGGTAGGGTGAGGTTTTCTATGGTGAAGTATCATTAACCCCGGGTAGGGTGAGGTTTTATATGGTGAAGTATCATTAACCCTGGGTGGGTGAAGTTTTCAATGGTGAAGTATCATTAACCCGGGGTAGGGTGAGGCTTTCAATAGGGAAACTATCATTAACCTCGGGTAGTTTGAGGTTTTCAATGGTTAAGTATCATTAATCCTGGGTAGGAAAAGTTTTCAATAGAGAAATATCGTTAGTTTCGAGTAGGGTGAGGTTTTCAAGTACTATTTAGAAGAATCATTGATGGAGCAACTATGCCTGAAAAAAAAAATGCTTTTCTTAAAAGACAATAGCAAAGTAGCATTGATGACGACAGCTCATGTAACAACGGGTTTATGAATCAAACATGACAATGGTGTTTGTCATAATTAAGACACTTTCATACACATGTGGCAATATTAATAAATATTTTTGAAATATGTGATGTCATCATTTGCAGATTGGTAGCGTACTTACTGTTACCCACCCACTTCATCCATTGTAACATCTCACTTTTGTGGTCTAACAAACACTATGTATTTTGTTTGCGATTCACTTCGCTAAGATTGTCCTTATTATCACTTTTGTGTGATTGCCATCTGTTTGGGGGCTGGGCCAAAATTGATCAAACTTGACAGGCAGGTTACACCTGCACTCTAGAAAGCTGGACAAATTTGAAAAAAAAGAAGTTATGTCCTACTGTTTCTATGACAATGGCCGGAAACTTCCCGCAAAATCTTTTAATCAAAATCTCGGACATATTTCATTCTCGTTTAGTCTCAGTGTGTGCCTAAGTTACTATTTTGTATGGAGTTGGAGCCAGTGTTTTCACTGGATTGAATCGCGCTTTCAGAATTAGCCTAATCGTTATTTATGCTTGGTTTTATTAGTTAAAACAGTGGTGTTAATAAACCGCTATAGAATCTCCTCTCTGTATTTGACAAGGTCACTATGAAGGTAATTTAATCAGCGATTGATAACCATGGCTTCACCAAACTTTTTTTTTTTGCTATTTGTAGATCGTTCTAAATGTGTGCTGTGCGACTTTTTTTCTCGGGACAACTGTATGTTGGCCAGACACTGATATTCTAGCTAGACTGGTGCAACAAAAAGTGCAAAAGGTGTAATTCATTCGTTTTTGCCAGTTTTAATTTGTGTCACAATTACGGCCAACGGATAGGAAGGCAAAATTCACAACCATTTATAAAAAAAAAATTTGGTTTAGAAATATCACGCTCCTGAATGTTTAACAATGATATATGGAGTGTCTATTAACTACACAGACTATATTGGTAATACATGCAATCGAATTCATTTCCAAATTCCCGTCACACGCGAGTTGTTGTTGTGGGAGTGTTCGGCTGTGTACCGTATTTCGGATAAATTAGATGCATAAACACTCTCACTAATTTACATCACAATTGTACCAGGACATGGTAGTCACGTGACCTGTGAATGTGACCTTCAACCTTGATAGATAATAATCGTAATTCCCGTAGCCGTTTAGCGAAATCACATTGCTATGGGACTTAACTGATCACTACGCTACGATTTACGTTTTATTTCATCATATCAGTTGTCAGGTAAGAAGCTTATCACGTTGTACAATTAGCAGCGAAAGGTTGACCATTGTGGCTACGATATTAGAACACAAAAAAGCGCCTACGGTTATCGACTTGTGTTATATCGTACTGCCGTGTGTTTGTGTGTGTGAATCATTAAGGTGTTGTCGTTTCACTGGTAATACAGGCAGCATACCCACCAAAGGTACAACTGATCAATTAATGACTGCTGGCACATATGTACACACCGCTTCGTTGACTGTCTGTATTGGTATGTTTCTGCGTCAATGACCGAATCGAGTAAACGGGATCAACATAGACGATCGTTAACATTACCGTAGTCAAAGTAAAACAGGTGAAAGTGACTCTTGTTTCGACGTTTTAAAGTCGATGAATTGACACATTGCTATGAAAATATCGAAACTTACAATGCGGAACGCTGCAAATTCTTGTGATAAAAACGAAAAGAATAGAAAATTGTTGTGCGAAACACATCGATTCAAACACCTCCTAGAATACTATAACCACAACAATGTCGGAAGCCATTACTTCGTTATGTGCTGTGCTGTACCATCTACCCATGCATTACTATGTAAATCTTAAAAGCGAGGGGGAAAGAAAGCGTTGCAACGCTAGACACCCACTATAACGTGAGGATTGAATTCTAAGTGCTGTCGTACTGTGAATGAGATTTAATTTAAACGACATTGTGTTACTATATCGTTTATATTGTGATAGAAAATTAACAAAGTAGATCTCTAGAATCGGAACTCATTTGTGAATATGAATATAATACGCTGACTGTCAATCCATTAGGCAACCTGGTATTCTTAAATCGTGTACTATATAATCGATCTATTCGTATCACTTATCCTAAACCCGAATATTGCGTCATCAGTGAAGATTTGCATTTAATTACATGTCTTTTGGGCGTAAACACAAATATATAAATACAATATAATGTAAGATACTGTTCGTTGACTAGACTAGACAATGGCTTGTATATTTTACTTCAATTCCTGAATGACCCGACTTGTCCGTAAAGTATCATAATAACATGTATTGCCAGTGTCTGGCTCGACTTAAAGGGAACTATTGTTTACTAAAACGTGACTAATTTCTCGTGTTTTTCGTAGCCACGTTTTCTTCTTGGATATATTCACTTTCATCAGATAATCAGATAGATGCATTAATGGCGCACGAATGGTATTCTGATTACCAAGCAAATCAAGATCCACTCGATAATCCGCGGGATCCAGACTTTTCACCCGCTATCTCGTTTATTTGTATACAATTGGTGTTAGTCACGCCATGGTGCCGTCGCTAAAAAGACGTTCACAAAAGGCGTGTCTCGACAGGAGAAAGTCTCGCACAATACGTAACTTCAACGCATTGTCTGCTTGTTGACAAACCCAGTACATACCAATATGAGGACAGGCATTTGAGGTAGACATTGGCTTATGACCTCCTTTATATATTATAATTCGATAAACTATATGGCTGCTCAATTTCTGTACAAAAAACAACAGTTCTAATAAATAAAACAAAACAAAAACATTGTAATACATCAGACATTTTGTAAGACGGACACTGTATAAGAATTATCCACAATAAAATATGAGACAAGCATGAGATGATATCAAGCTAGTAAAATAAAATGTTTACATTTTATATTATATTCCATATAACAAAATTAAATATTATTTTAAAAATAATTCGTTTAATAACATTCACTCTAAGCCAATTTATTGTGGTGTTTTTAATGGTATGCTTTCTCAGCCGTTTGCCAAGAATCACCGCTGATTCTTTTGTTTTATAAAATCTCTCAACACTTAATTATGTTACTTAATATTTTTATGTTTAAATTCAACCATATTTTGGGGTTAAAGCAAGCATTGGTGGTCAAACATACTACATGATTTTGGTGTTATTTTATTTACTACTTTGGAATATCTTTAAACAGTCACGGTTGAACATCTCCAACTAATATATAAAAGAATTCTAACATAAACGTACTTTAAAATTATCACGCATTCTGGTCTAGATATTGAATACAGTTGTAACACCCCGATAAATGAATATATTATAAACAATAATATGCAGTGTTCGATGACGCTGACACCTAGGTGAACTTAATACATGTACAAAAGAATTAAGTACGGTCACTGTGAACCTATTTTGGCATGTTGTATTTGCAATAAAAATATTATATACAGTAAACTGACTTCACCTACAATGAGTATTCATTTCAATTAATTCTGATCCCTACATAAACTCAAAACACAATATTACGCTCGAATGCTTGTTTTTATAAACCATTCGCAGTGAAATAATGCATGCAGATTGCTACAAATAAATAGTACGTTTTAGTATTCAGGTCATTTGACAATACCAAGTTGTGCTGTCTTACGTCGTAACCGACCAGCTGACATATGTATTTCAATAAATAACTCATTGCTTCAATACCAATATTTATTTATTTATTTATTTATTTATTTATTTATTTATTTATTTATTTATTTATTCATTCATTCATTCATTCTTTCATTCTTTCATTCATTCATTCATTCATTCATTCATTCATTCATTCATTTAAAAAATAAATTTATTTATTTATTTTGTTTTATTTATTTATTTATTTATTTATTTATTTATTTATTTATTTATTTATTTATTTATTTATTTATTTATTGTTCATTTCACATGGCGACCACAACGTACAAACTGGGCATATTGTGTGCTAGTTTCACGGCCCCAGTGACTAGATCGTAAATAGTCTGATCAGAATAGGCAGTCGATACGCTGTTTTTATGTTTCTGCCTTTAGTCTCAGACAACTAATAAATAATAATAATTAGTTGTCTGAGTTTTGGTGTACTCGCGATATTTCACACATTAATGTCGATTTCATTACACTGTTTTACAACGTTATTTAGGCGTGTAACCGAAGAGGCCACAGTAAGACGTAGTCTTTTATTCTGAGTATATGAAATATATTATAGGTTTTCTGATACATTTATAAACGAAGAATTATGATGTGGACGTTACTGATAATGACGTCACTGGTGATGTCATTGTGGGCACAGACAGGAGGTTAGTAAGTTTATTGTTTTGGGGTTGACCATTTGAACTATGTGGAGAAGGGGGTGAATTAAAAAAAAACTTGCACATAGATACAATTCTTCAGGAAATTAGTTATCAAAAATATATGTATCAACAATATTGTATGAAAGCAACAAATATTGTATGAAACAAAACAAAATTGTGTATAATCTGTCGATCATCACCCACACTCAGCCCCTCAGTAATAAATGATAAATCCTCGGCCCCGCATATTCAGCAATCACGTTCCGATACAGAGAGTACACGAATCTTCCATCACTGGCTTAGTTAACGCGTGATTTGTTATCTTAAAACCTCGAGGGATGACAAACTCAATTACGTACGTAATCAATTATAACTGGATATGCACAACATGATGACCTACATTGATAGGCCAATTATACACAGAGTGTACCAGTGTAAACCTCATAAACTCTCATATTTGAATATCATTAAAAGAAAACTTGAAATTTGAAAGAATAATACTCTCATGATATTTGTTAAAATGGATAAGTAGCTTGTACAAATTAGCTACTGATATTTCAGCTGGTACACTCTAGATTTGTGAGTTTAATGAAATATTTTTTGAATGCAGTTTTAATTTTGAAAGAAAAGCGTATTGTTATGTCCCATTATATACTAAAACTACCATAGCTAATGCATATATGGATACATATATGTTACTTCCAAATAAAAGAGCTGCACGAATACACGGTATGCAATTTATAGCTTCTCTCTTTATATTTTTTTTTTCGTTCTACACATATTCAACTTTTTAATTAATATACGTTGTCCTCTTTTTTTAACTTTCCAATCGTTGTTTCAAAAAATGAAGAAATTGATTCCATTCATAACTTAGTAAAATTAATTAGGTCACATTTTTATTTTACTCATGTATATACTAGTAACTCAAATAGTGGTAAAATAATGTTGCAAAGGCACGAGACATTTTCAGAAAGGTAAAATAAGTAAAAATGTAGTCGTTTAGATTAGAATGACTGTTTTGTTCCCGTTTGTGGTTATACATATCCTGTATAAGCCACTCTAATCGATAAATTGAGTGAGATTTGGTAGAAAGATCTAAAAATGAAACGATGAATATTTCCAGTTATGTTGGTATGACAACCATATTATAGTACGGCATGGTCTAAACTTCGAAGTCCTAATTTTGAAGTTGTAGTCATCTATATCATTTTCTCAATTTTTCACAACATAACCCCAAATCCTTTGCTGGAGAATCAAGATAGCGAATCACATACTTGTATACTGATTAATTGTGAAATAACAAAATGTAAATTGCATTCTCCTGTATTTATGAAGCTCTTTCATCTGGGAGTTATATATTGCAACATTCTACCCATAAACCAATGCTGTCAACATAAGCACTATATTAATGGCGGATATAAATATCATATCATGTCCAAATGTAACCTCTACAAAAGAGGGCACAATTATTTCTATTTTTTATAACGGTGGTTGACTTGGTGATTCGAAATTCATAAAAACTCATTTAGGTCGAGGCTGATAATCAGTTGATCTATTTTTTTTATCCGTTTGGCGTTTTGAAAGGTTTTATTGGCAAAGTGTAAGTCACAATTCGGAAACAACTCCTGCATGAAAACTGACATAGAGAGCGTACATTAGCACTCCACATTGTAATGAATATTCTTTGATTTGTGAGTAGTGATAACATATACAATCAATATGCTTTTATCTACTTATGACGTAATTCACCATGACAACCCTGGTGAACAATTTAAATGTTTCGTGAGAGAATGCTATTTTTTAAAACATTTATAATCTATATCAAAAATATATTGTTTACGAGTCACGTAACCTATACACATGTACCCAATAAGTACAATTCAGAACGTTGTCACATGACAATGTCGGAATGGGGTGGGGCTGCTATATGAATCATTTCGTGATGTGTGCACACGTATTCCAATTATCCACGCAGAAAAGATGAAGTACTGACATATGTCAAAATTTAAGACTACTCGTGGTACTTAAAAATGACACAATGCAAAGCCGCATGTTACATTCGTGATTAAGGAGAGTTCACCCTGAGTCCGTTACAATAGAAAGTGATTTGTTTTCCAGAATGTTCCTTTTTTTGATATATTTGAGTGTGCTTACACATCGATTACATTTCAGTTTCACAGTGTAGTACCAATCCATGTTTTAATGGCGGTTCCTGTGAAGACAACGTTGATGGCAGCTACACTTGCCATTGCACGGAAGGATTTGTTGGTGACAGATGTGGAACGTCCATCGAAGGTGAACCAAACCCACATACATTACACTTCATCGAATACACATACCAGAACAAAGCAATTAATTATATATTATTTTACTTGTACACGATTAATCCTTCCGCCTAAATTATTTCTCCGTTTTAAGAATGTGTCTTTTACTCGAGTCAATTTAATGTCATGTCACACGCTTATTATTTAATTTACATAAAGTATCATTATCTTTCAAACCACCAGTTAATACCGATATCATACGTTTCATTATATTGAGTTGACCTGAACGTTCTAGTCGACATCTACCATTGTACCATTATTATGCTAAAATCTCCTCTGCCTTAAATATAACACGTTTTTTTGGACAAAATTAAGTGCTTCGTAAGCGGCTGGCCACGGTGATTAATATTTTGTTATAACATAGTATTTTTTTTATATTCAGTGGCAGGCATATGTTACTCCAACAATCCGTGTCAAAATGGAGCTACCTGCTTTGGATATTATAATACATATACGTGCTATTGTACAACAGGATTTACAGGCACTCTATGTGACACTCCCAGTAAGTACCATTGTCACGTGATTGATGTATATCCATCCAACACGTGAAGATCACAATACAAGTGACAGATGTATTGGACACATTGAATGTTATTACCTCGGAATCAGATAGTGAGATTTGTATACGAGTTTCAGCGGCTCTAGACCATTATTGTTTTATTTAAATTTTTTAGCTGGAAATGTGAATTGCTTTTACGACGGCCAAGTTTACCAACACTTCGAAACACGACAAGAAGACTGTAACAAGTGGTAAGTGTGTGTTTTACACCGTAGAGGGCGTTGGGTCTTTGGCCACGTGATATTGTCTACCTTCTCGCGAAAAAGATTAAATTCAAATAAAACGGCGCGTAAGGAAATTAAACGTTACGAAAGGACAATAAACAAAAGTGCACACTTCGTACTGTATCTGATTATTCTCGGTTTTTATTTATCCTAAATTTGGTATTAAACATGAGATGTGTGTACCTTTATAAGTGTAATGTTCAATTTGTACGTAAAGATGTTCATTTGTTTATTATAGCACATGTAATTACGGGTCATGGTCGTGTACAGAGATTTCCTGTCACTCAGGTTAGGCAATTTGTATTCAAATGTTATACTTTAACATTCATAATTATTTAATTTACTTGAAGCAGAGGTGGTCGTCACCTGCGCATGCGCGGTAATTGAATTCCAAGCGACGATAACAAAGAACATTAAAAACGCAAAGGCCCATGGGTAGATGTTTGTTTGTAAACAACGACAAGCTATGGTCGTTTGCCGCATACGCAGGTGCAGGTGACGACTCCCCCGCATTTGAATATACCCGGTATCCAGAAATGTCTGCATAACAATAACGTGTTTTCTTGCAATTTCATTTGATACTTAGGCGGCTGCACCCATGACGGCGTAGCTTATTCAGACGGAGCTGAGAGACAGCTAGACTGCGGAAACTTTTGGTAAGATCATAGATATATACTCACATGTTATGAAATCGATTTGTTTTCTAATAAGTTTATCACACACTTTGTATCATTATTTTCAGTACATGTCTTAATGGTCAGTGGGGCTGCAGTGAATTGCCGTGTGGTAAGTAAAAAAAAAATGTCTTCGGAGTTTCTTTCATATCAATCCCACCTTACATTTCAATAAATTTTATATTTGAAACACTGTTTAGCATAAGTGACAACCTTTTTCACGAGACTAACCAATGAATATTAATGTAACTCGAGTAATGTTTTATTTTATACCCAGCTCCCTGCACTCACAGCTTTGTTACGTATTCACACAGTGCTACGAGGCAGCAAGACTGCAATACTTGGTAAGATATACTCTCATGTGTGATGTCGTTATCATACACGCTGATATTAATGTAATATGTAATTAACAAAATGAACTTTGACCTGATAATGCGTAGTTAAAAGTTGTTATTGTGTTTATTTTTAGTACATGTCTAAACGGCCAATGGAACTGCACTCAATTATCTTGTGGTAAGTCTGAATAAATATACAAAAATCAATAATCGCTGATCAACTTTCTAACTAACCTGTATTAACATTTAAATGATAGTTTATTAATAATTTATGCATCAGTGGGGCCACGTGCGTATAAGCAATACATACAACGTAATTTTGAATTCACAGACATAGTGTTAGTGCCCTCTAACGACATATTCAATAGTGCTTTCGTTAGCGGACGTTTTATATAAGTACGGAAAAGCATAAGTAAATAAAGAATATGTATTCCGCATGAGGGCATATCATAAGATCATTCTTTAAAATCATTGTGAAGACCATCAACAAATAGTGATATGTTTCCCATGATTAAATGTGTAAAATTATGTTGGTCAATATCTTGTATTTGGCAAATCAACCTATCATCTTACTCAATCGTTTGTTTATATTCTTTTATGGTGACGCAATTCCACGAAGTCTATAATAATCGTATCATTGCACGTAATCTATACTAACCACACGGTTTGTAATGTTTATTTTACTGCACACAGGATTATGCCCTCCGATATATCCCGGAATTTCGGGGGACTGCACATTAACCGCTTGTTTCTCTGACCAGTTTTGTTCAAATAATCAAAAATGTTGTTTCAATGGTTGCGTTGTCACTTGTTTGAATTCAGTGTCTGTAGGTGAGTAAAAAAGTCACACTTACTCGGTGATTGACACACACCTGATTTTATTGGGGGGGG